GTGTTTCCCCCCGCGCCCCCCGACCCCGCGCCCGCAAATGAACGGGGCGGCGCCGGTGTGGGAGCGGCCCTGGTCGCTGGACGAGATCCGCAGGGGCAGCCAGGCCTGGTCGCTGGCCTCGGACGCGGGGGTGAGCGCGCAGCGCGGCGCGGCCGGGCCCGGGGGGCGGGAAGGGGCCCCGCTGAGGCCTTGAGAGCACGAGATTTCCGCGGGGAGTCTGGGCACGTGCAGAGACCGAGAGCCGGTGGAGGGCTCCCCAGCCCCCACAACCACCCACCCCAGTGACAGCACCTGCGAGCTCCTCCCGTCGCTGCCCCTCTGCCGCCCCGGCCAGTGCGAGCAGCAGCGGTGACGGGTCGGGCACTGGTGCGCGGACAACGTATTTCATGCTTACAGTAGCAACAGCACCAGGGACAGCAGGTATCCCTGGCTGTGCCCTGCTCGCTCCCCACCCCCAAGATTGAGTCCTTGTGGAGCTGTAATGCTCATAGCGCATGTCTGGTAGGTGGTGGCATGGCAGTGCACGGAGAAATGTCTGCTGCCACTTGCATTCAGTCCTGCTTCATATCATTGGAGTCATCTTCTGCTGTAATCTTTGTGGGTGGGTCATTGACTGGGATAAACTGATCTTGAGAGAAGTACAAAATTGACCACAAAAATACTGGGAAGAACCTGTTACAGGAAAATCCAAATATCGAGCATTAGGCACTCATGTTAGGAGTTGTGTAATGTAAAATCCTTTATTTTGACACTGCCCTCTCAATTGACTGAGTTGCCGTCTCCAAGTTCTCTGGGGTCTTTTGTGGTTTAAGGTATCAGAAATTAAATAACATTTCCTCCCACGTTCTAAATAGCTCCTGCGTTTTCTACAAGAATTTTCCCAGCAGACCATCTCCAGGACACACGAAATTAAAAAGCAAGTGGATGGGTTGATTAACGAAACGAAAGCCACAGACTGTCGTCTACATAATGTCTTCAATGATTTTCTTATGTTGTCCAACACACAGTTCATTGAGAACGTGAGTGCACCAGATTCTAACATCAGGCTTGTACTTCAAATAAGTTGATACCAGATCTGTTGTGGTGTGGAAAAGTGACAAACTCTTACATTAATATAGACAGCATTTTTCCCATGGTTCAAGATAATTTGATCACTTTCTTTACTCTCAGGCTGCATGTCCCTCTTTCTTGGCATAATTTGGAGATATTTAGGCTTAAAATGTCTTCTCCTTCTCCTTGGGATGTCTCCTTCTTTCCCTTGTTGGTATTAGCTGCATTCCACAGGATCCAGAGGCAAGTGACTAGGATGGTAAAGGGTTTGAAATACAATTCATCTGAGGCAGAGTTGAAGGAACTAGGTGTGGTTCCTTTGGAGAAAAGGAGATCTAGGAGTGGACAAGCTAAAAACTATCAGTTTTGGAAAGGCTGCTATAAAGAAGATGGAGAAAAATTCTTCTTTGCCTTGTGAAACAGTAGATTCAAATGTAGCAAAGCACATTTAGATCAATTCTCAGGAAAAAAAACTTTTTAACTATAAGAGCAGAAAGGTAATAAGATGAGCCAGTATTAGAAATTGTGGAGCCTCTTTTGGAGGTTTTCAAAAAGAGGCTGCATGGGCATCTGTATGGGATGGTTTAGGAATGAGTAAATGTTAAATTTGTCTAGGGGGTTGGACTGGGTGACCCTTGAGGTCCCTTTTGGCTTTATTCTAGCAACTGTAGGACTTTTTCTAGTTTTAAAATCTCAGCTGTTTAGGTGCAACATACTTGGCATCTGTCTGTGGCCTCCCTGCCTCCCACCCCTCCCCTTGAGTTGAGGAGGATTGATATGGTATAGCCAACATCCATATCTCTGTGCCTGGAGGTTGACTACCTACTGCCCACGAGCTAGATCTGGCATGCACAAGAGGTTGAATCCAGCCCAGGAAGGTCTGACTTGTCTTGGGTATCATGAAGGATCTGGTGTAATGCAGCTGTATGGAGCTGCCTATCCCTGCTGCAGCACCCTCCTTTACAGCCCTCCCTGCTGCTTTATGTCTGAACTTACCCAGCCCCTCTGCATCTTCAGTAAGGGTAAGCACAGGCAGCTTGTGATCCTTGGGGAGTGGAAATTTGCAGCCTATGCAGCAAGGGGCTGGATTGTAAGCTCTGGTTCAGTGTAGCAAAGTGTTGCTGACCTCTGGTCTAGAACTTATTTAGTTTGATTATAAGATCTTATTCAATTTGATTATAAGAGTTTGTATAATAAGGTTTCCTTCTGTGAAGGAGATTCTTCATAGTTTAATTTGAAAAGCACTCTGGGGTGTTGGTGAAAGTCACCCATAGAAAGGAGTCTGTTGACATGCATTATAATTGGTGTTGGTGTTGGTGCAAGCAGCAGGATGTTCTAAAAGCTTAAACCACATTTCCACCCAGAATGCTCATGTCTGACTTCTTAGCTGTAGTAGTATATGGTAGAATCAGGAGTACGACCAAAGATTCCTGCTTTAACCTCTACTAGGTTTCTTACTAGGCATAAATCAACCCTAGCCACCTACTCAGAGCAGGCTGTGGAAAGATGGTGAGTGGAATCCAAGCAATATATCTGCACTGCTTTTGGAAGTAGGGCAGATATAGTGGTTGCATCTTGACATGTCTTATACTGAAGTTGCACATATAACTTTAGGATGCATATTATGCAAGTTGAAGCATCTTTTTTTATGCTAGTAGCTGGCTTCATCAGAGGTGGTTAGAATATAATTGCAGTTGTCACTGTTTCTTGTTAAAAAACAGTATTGGTTGCAAAAGTTTAGTGCTTACAAGTTGTGAACATCAGTATTTCAGCAAAGGTTGGTTTGAAGTGTTAGCGTTATATGCTTACTAAGGAAGCAGTGTCATAATG